TAAAATTATAAAAATCCCAAAGATCTAAAAATATTTAAAAATTTTCAAATACTGAAGGTTAATGAAAATCTGAAAGCTCTGAAGATTATAGAAATTCTAGTGATTCCAGATTTTAGAAATTCCAACGATTCCAAAGTTTCCAGTGGTTTGAAAGATTCAAAAAGTATAAAAGCTTTCACGGAGTACATACACTAGAAATTGCGAATTATAAAGACACTTCAGATTCTAAGTAAACTAAAGTTCTGATGTTCTAAATATAAAAAAATTGGTCTAAAGAGTTTAGACAGTACTTCCCTCGCTGTCGGAAACTTGACGACTGCATGCCTATTGTGTTTTTTTTCTCATTACATTTTTGTAGTGGGAATTTAAAAAAAAATTGCGATGACGTCATCAACATTTTTGCAAGGACACGTATATCAGTTGGGATAGATGTAGTGTAATACTAAGAATAAAATTATTATATTCTCAAATTTTCGGGAAAATGAATTGGGTCGTTTGAATATTGATTTGTAATAATCAATAAAATAACGAAACAATTTACTCACGTATACCTACGTATCAGAGGCAACTGAAAATCGTGTATGTATAAACATTGTTAATTTAAGATGACAGGCGTAACAGCATACGTGAGAGCCAAACACAGAAACTGTAAACAAAACGACCATCGGTTTTATTGCTTCGACTTCCGCTTATTATATAAAACATTGGGTTTTATTTTAATTCTTGACGGTGAAATTCACAATTGGTTGATTATAAACATGTCTATTTCACATTCGCGGAATCAAGTGAACGCAGAAAACAAATGCAGGTCTGTAATGTTAAAGTCGATGTAAATAAGCGTGCTACCCTTATGTTTCAACCGAGGTTTTCCTTTAACAAATTTTGTGTCTACCAAATTGGGTTGGTTGGGGTGTAATACTAATAATAAGTGTTGCCTTTAATTTAATCAATAAAATAAATTGACTTCATTAATTTTTTTGAACCACCTCTTAAGAAAATCTAAAAAATATGAATGGAATGATAAATCACAAGTACAAACTCATCATATTTTTTGCATTTTAGATAGGATTTATTCAGCAAAATTTAAGGGTGACGTCATCAATTTTTTTAGGAGGGATGAACAAATACATTTTGAACAAAAGTTTACCATGCTTATAATAACTTTAAAATATTCCCAAGATTTCAAAGCATTCGGTTTTGTAATTCCTGATTAAATCGATAAAATAAATTCACGCCTTCATTAATTTTTTTGAGTCACCCTGCATATGCAAATCCAAAAATATGAATGGAATGATAAATCACAAGTACAGACTCATCATATTTTGTACATTTTAGATACGATTTATTCGGAAAACTTTTGAGCTGACGTCATCAGTTTTTTGTAGAAGATAACCAAATATATTTTGACTAAAAATTTATTATGCTCTTTATAACCTTAAAACATCTGCAAGATTTCAAAGCATTCGGTTTTGTAGTTCCTGATTAAATCAATAAAATAAATTTACGCATTCATTAATTTTTTTGAGTCACTCTGTATATGCAAATCCAAAAAATATGAATGGAGTGATAAATGACAAGTACAGGCTCATCATATTTTGTACATTTTAGATATGATTTATTCGGCAAACTTTCGAGCTGACGTCATCAAGTTTTTGGAGGGGATAAGCAAATATATTTTGACTAAACATTTATTATGCTCTTTATGACCTTAAAACATCTGCAAGATTTCAGAGCATTCGGTTTTGTAGTTCCTGATTAAATCAATAAAATATATTTACGCATTCATTAATTTTTTTGAGTCACCCTGTATATGCAAATCCAAAAAATATGAATGGAGTGATAGTTCACAAGTACAGACTCATCATATTTTGTACATTTTAGATATGATTTATTCCACAAACTTTTGAGCTGACGTCATCAAGTTTTTGGAGGGGATAAGCAAATATTTTTTGACTAAAGATTTATGATGCTCTTTATAGCCTTAAAACATCTGCAACATTTCAAAGCATTCTGGTTAGCAGATTAAAAATTAAATTTCAGAATGTTGTTTTATAATTTTGATTTTTTTTCCAAAAATCTGGACGTTTCGGGTGAAAAGTCGATTCAGAGTTGTAAACTACATGTGTAGGACTATGTTATTTTATACAATTGAAAACCCATTTACTATGTACAATTTTGAAGTGACGTCATCGCATTAGTGGTGGGGATGATTCGACAAATTTTGGTTAGCGTTTTACCATCTACATGATATTCTTAATATAAGTACAAAATTTCACAACAATCGGTCGAGTACTTTCGGAGATTATCTGTCTAATAAAAATCCGTGACAACAGACGGACAGACGGACAGACGGACGGACAGACGGACAGACGGACAGACGGACAGACGGACAGACAGACGGAAATGGGAGACCTATTTCTTCGTCTTCTAGAGGTCATGAAAGATCGAGAAAACGTAAAAGTAGAGAGTCGGCCGACGGACTCGATTACAATACTTCCTTTGCTTACGCTCGGGAAGTAAAAAAGATCCAACAAAATCTTAAAAATATTAAAAAACCTGGGGGTACTAACAATCCTAAAAATTGCAGAAATTTTAGATTTTATAAAATTTCTAGTAATTCCCAAAGTGTTCAAAATTTCCATAGATGGGAAAGACTCTTAAGAGTCTAAAGACTAAGGTTTTGAAGTTTTGTAAAAGTGAAATTTTTCCAATGGTCCCCCCTTCTTTAAATTTCGGCGAAAATTTCACATTTTCGAAACCTAACGAAATACATTTTCCTGTGGATTTCGAGCTGTAGAACTCATTTCCGGCCTCGATTCTTTGACGGCTCCAACCGTTTTTCCAGAATCATCCGTTAAAATATCGAAATTTTTAGAAATCGTCAAAAATTTACATTTCGTCCAGATTCTTTCGAAAATGTTGCTCCGTGACCATCAACATGCTATATTTTTGGAATCGGCCTCGCGCGATCTACATCCCCGAATTTTTTCCGAATTTTTAGACAACTTTTGTAAAAGTGAAGTTTTTCCAATGATCCCCCCTTCTTTAAATTTCGGCCAAAATTTCACATTTTCGAAATCTAACCAAAAACATTTTCTTGTAGATTTCGGGCTCTAGAACTCATTTCCGGCCTCGATTCTTTGATGACTTCGACCGTTTTTCCAGAATCGTCCGTTAAAATATCGAAATTTTTAGAAATCGTCAAAAATTTACATTTCGTCCAGATGGTTTCGAAAATGTTGCTCCGTGACCATCAACATGCTATATTTTTGGAATCAGCATGTCGAGATCCACATCCCTGAATTTTTTCAGAATTTTTAGACAACTTTTGTAAAAGTGAAATTTTTCCAATGGTCCCCTCCTTCAAATTTCGGCCAAAATTTCACATTTTAGAAACCTAACTAAACCAAAATTAGTGTGATAAAAATCGATGACGCCATCATAGAATTTTGCCGAATAAATGTAAAATACGCACAATGTTAATTCTTGGTAGAAATTACAGAAATTCTAAAATTCTGACCGAATTCGTGGGAAGATTCCAAATGTTGTGAAAGTCCCAAATATTCCAACCCTTTCAAAGGTTTTAAGGCTTTCAAGGATGCCAAAAGCTCTAAGGACTACAAGGATTTCAGGAATTTCAAAAATTCAGATTACAAATATTTAAAAATCTACAGATACTGAAGGTTAATGAAAATCTGAAAGCTCTAAAGATTATAGAAATTCTAGTGATTCTAGATTTTAGAAATTTCAAAGATTCCAAAGTTTCCAGTGGTTTGAAAGATTCAAAAAATATAAAAGACACTTAAGATTCTAAGTAAACTAAAGTTCTGATGTTCTAAATATAAAAAACAATATCCAACAAAATCTTAAAAATATTAAAGAACCGGGGGGTACTAACGATCCTAGAAACTGCAGAAATTTTAGGTTTTATAAAATTTCTAGTAATTCCCAAAGTGTTCAAAATTTCCATGGTAAGACTCTTACGAGTCTAAAGACTAAGATTTTGAAGGCTCTAAAGGGTTTAAAGACCATGACTCCAAGGGACCAAAAGCTAAAATTCTGTTGCGAATACTTGAAAGATTCTAAAGGTTCTACAGAAATTCCAAAAAGCCGAAGATTTTAAACACTCCAAATACTAAAGAAAACAAAAATCTGAAAGACCCAAAAATCGTAAAAATGCTGTCTTTAATTTTTATAAATCCTAAAAGCACTGAAGACCTTGAACACCCTATTATTATCTTATAAATTTTGCAAACTGTAAAGATTCCAGAGATTCCAAAAATTCCAAGAATTTAGACTCTTGAGATCTATAAATTTTAGAAAATCTGAAAAAATTCTGGTATAACTGACAAAATTTTAGAAATTTTGGAAAATGCGGAAATTCTGGTCAAAATCTGAAAAATTGGGCTAATCTGGAAAATCTGAACGCTGTGAAAATTAAAAGAAAATAAATTAAAGACTCCAAACACTCTAAACAAAACAAAAATTTATTATTAATTTTAGAAAATCTGAACTTCTGGAAATTTCAAAAATTTCGAGGATTCCAAGGGTGCCAAAACTCTAAGGAGTTTATTAATACTAAATTGATATATGCGCCCTTGCTAAAATGTTAATGACGTTATCAAAAAAACAATATATGGAGAAACTGACTATAAAGATGAAAAAAAAAAATCTCAAAGTTAAAAATTGATAATAATTTTTCGAAGGCGTACAATTTTTTTTACTTCCCGAGCGTAAGCTACTTCATTCATCCGACGAATGTGCACTTTAGTGTTTTCTAGACGTTATATGATCCCTAACTACGAAATAATAGGTGTCCCGCTTCCGTCTGTCTGTCGCCAGTGTCGTCTGACCGGATTTTTATTACACACATACTTTCCAAAACTACTGGACCAATTGTTGTCAAATTTTAAAACATTAACCAAAATTTGTCCAATCACCCCACCAGTATGGAAACTTCGTGTCACATAAGCACAGCATAATCTGACAAAGCAACTTACAGTCAAACACTCCTGGAACCTCCCCAGCTTGTACAAACACGCAGACCTGTTAGCAAAAGCCAAAGCCAAGAAACCCGGGCCTTTGGCTGCCGCCAGACTCGCAGTGTAGCGCTCCAGGGCCAATCTGTATCCACCTTCTCCAAAAGCTTCATTTCCGCGCTCCCTAAGCCCCTGCGACTCCGCATCACTTTTACCACATTTCACAGACTTGGGGAAAAGTTTAAACTTGCGTAAATCTTTATAGACGAAATTGACTCTATCCAAGTTCGTCTCCAATCTACCAAACTTTTCCAAATACCTCGACATGTCGAAATGTGGATTCAAGGACCCAAGCCGGGAAAGCAAAAACAGCGGGGTAGTTTGGGCGTACAAGAAGTTCGCCATAACTGGAAAATAGACCCAGCTTGCGGAAAATTGCGAAAAGCGGCTTTGGAAACTTACTTGGAAAAAATCGCAACACTAAATCGACAACGAACTTTTCTGCGTTTGCAAGCTTGCACGAAGTACGAAACTAGCAGGGCGCCAACCTGAGGAACAAAATGTCCCAAGATGGTGGTGGCATTTTACGCAAAAATGCCGTTTGTGACTACAAAAAACGTTTTAAGGTTAATAAAACTGCTTGAATGAGTAACAACACATATATTAAATACTGTATTTTTCAAAAACAATGAATTTCAACACTGTGATGCACCTAGTTACTTTTCGATGTGCAGTGGCTCCACTGGATTTGTCGCGGTCAAACTGTCATCTAACACGAACCTTGCAAATGCTTTATTGGCCAACGTTTCACATTTTTAAACTCTACAATAGCAAAAACACGTTTAGTAATTTGTAGTAGAACAATTGTCAAAGATTAGAATCGTTTGCTCCTAACTTCTTAAGTGCTTTCATTGTCAGTCCAACCAGTTCCATTTATTAGCAGTTAAGGCACAAATCCAATCTCTGCTATAGACTTATCACACTCGATTTTTTTATTACCAAAAATGACATAACAATGTGCGATTAAGCTCTTCAGAGCTAAAGCACTCCCCTGTGGCTCCAGATCCTCACACTCTTTGAGTTGAGTAATCAAAGTTGGCAAAAAATTTCTCGCTTTCTGGACATCCGAGCCAATCACACTTCTCACTATATCTCCAAGTTCTATGACGTCAATGTTCAGATCTTCACAGATCTTGGCAACATCACCTAAGTTTGCAGACCAGTGTTCCTCACAGGCTTTACATAGACACTTTTGTAACTTTTGCGTGATGAAATACTGCTCACGGTCCAACGTTGAAGACACATCATACCTAAGACTAGAACGACATTAGTAAAAAAAAAAGTTTCTCTTGTGACTTAATTTAATTTTACCCATATCGATTAACAAAGCACTGTTCTCCTTCCTTGATTGTATTTAAAGCCCTAAGAACTAATTTATTGCCGTGAAAGGTTTTCATAACGTTAGCACAACAAGAATGTGTGAAAAGAGAAAACAGGGAATATGCCCCCACCCCAAAATTGTTAGTTCCATTATAGTTTAATTTTTGGACATATTCATAGATTGTGGCAACATTACTTAAAGTGGTCTGAAGTTGTACCAACATGATTTCTTTAAATGTATCAGAGGTCCTACTGGTTGCGAAAATTCCACTAAAAAAACTAGTGTAATTCCAAAGTAGTTCATAAATCACAGCTGTCAAAATAGCCTGATGGAATATATCAAAACGGGAAAACATTGCCCTGGACTTCAAGAAATGAACTACCAGGTATTTATCGCTGTCCTTCAATTGTAACATTTCTTTCTGAGGATAACACTCTTTTGTTAGAAGGGCAATCTTTAAAGCTAGTAAGATACTACTATCAGCGGCAAATTCACATCGAACGCGGTAGCAGATCGTAAGCAATATAGGGCACTCATACTTATGGTAACTCTGGGCTTCATTCTTACATGAATCACTGCAGAAAAGTGCCACTGTGCACTTGTTACAAGGTACAGGATTATAACAAAGATTCTGACACTGATGACAGTGTGTCAACCTGTCTGAAGTTAGCACACTGGTAAAAGGCTCCTCAATCATTATAATATCTCCTACTTCCACATCTCTAGTTGCCACAACGTGGGTTCCAAATTTATCATCCCTCTCAACTCTAATACAATTGTCAAAATCATCACCTGGAAGTGACTCATAGTAGCTACTTAAACAAGGGACCATACTTTCAGCCTGGGTTTTTATTTCCACTAATTTTTCAATCAAGTCTTTGGGATAACCAGCAGACGCTCTTTCAACTTCCTTAAATACAAACAACAAGTATGACTATCAATCCTGTAGTTCTATTTACCTCTAAACACTTATCAGGCATTTCAAGCTTTAAAAAACACTCAGCTCGGTGTCCATAACCTAACGCTAAAACTGTTTCACTTTCAGCTGCAGCCACACTTTGTGTGAAATCCTCCAACGCGTCCCAGTACTTTCCTACCAAACATTTTCGTTTCCCACCGTCAATGTGCGTAAACGCCAGTTCATCACTCTTTGTGTCTTTCATATACTTCGCAAACACATTGGGGTACTTTTTAATATCGGCATACACAAAATTTACTTTGTCGAGGTTCGTTTTCATTGATTCGAATGCATCCAGGTACTCTATGGGGTCAAATTCTGGTTTCAGATTACTGATGGTGTTGAATAATAATTTAGCGAGATCGTTGAACTCGGTTCCCACATAAGATGCCATTGTAAATGCAAGAAAGGAACGGTTGTGGTTGTTGTTTCGGTGAATAAAAAATTATAAAAGTATAAACTTAACTAGTTAACTTAAAGCTAACCTCACTTTCGGTTTTTAGTTCATCTAAAATTAAAAGTAGGTTACGTGTGTCAGTGCGATTGAGCAACACGTAATACGTGGGTGTATTGACTGCATACGCAATAGAGAGAATTTGGTGATTTTAGTGTTGTTGGGTTTTTTGCAGATCGTGGCTTTTAATTTAAGTTAAGCATTTTTTTTAATTTCTAGTGTGGGAATTATGTTACCTCAGTTGAAATTGGAACAGTTTCGTCATCCAAAATTTAAGAAAAAAATCATTCGTGTTATGGTTGAATATCACTGTTCTTGTATCACTCCAGGAATATTAAATTGTTCGACTGACCTGAACGTCGACTCTCCGTACAATGAGTTATGTATTGGAAATTAGAGAAAGTCTATCACACTTGTTACTTTTTCTTTGGGTCAAATTTTACTATTTTATTTTGGACCCTTTTAGATTCTTTAAATAAAAACAGACGAACTCTGATTTAATACTGTTCTATTGAACCGATATCGAAACACAAAATTTGCCCAAAATTACTTTACTTTTACTCACGTTTTACTGAATATTCACATAGTTAAAATTCTATTGGTAACAAAGTTCCTTGAATAATATGTATAATAACAGAAGAGCATTGTAAGAAGCTAAATTTAACATAATCTTACAATAAACAACAAAAATATCTGTTGGAACAGAAATAAGTAATTATGTAGTGGACTTGTGGGCGGGGAAATTTGAATTTGGGCGCAGGCGCGAGCTCTTACCACTCATTTCTGCGCATGCCCGGCTCTTAGGCCACTTGATGGCGCGAAAATTTGAATTTCCATGATGTTTTAAGTTTTTACAATGGAACAAATCCAGTTGAATTGTAAAATTTGATTTTGGTAAGTTAATTTTTTATGACGACTCCTAAAAGTTAAAAATGTGTCTGTAAGAAAGGAGTCAAGAAAAAGGTCACAAAAACGGGGAAAAAAAAAGGAATAAAAAACCTGCTGCCATAACTAATCCACAAAGAATGTGACAAAAAAAGGCGAATAGAAACACTAAAAAAAGGTTATAGAAAAAAGACAACAAAAAAAGTCCATAAAAAAACACAGAAAAGGGACAAAAAGTAACCAAAAAATGCGATTAACAGAAGGGAGTCAAAAAAGGTTATACAAAATTGCATCAAAAAAGATAATAAAGAAACGAACGAAAAGTTCACAAAAAAGGCGACAAAAAATGCAACAAAAAAACGAGAGGTAGTCAAAAAAGGTCCGATCAGGTTAGGTTAGGTCAAGTCAACCAAAAAAATCCACAAAAAAAAGTGCCAAAAAAGACGAGGACAAAAAGTGACCAAAAACGGTACAAGAAAAAAAACACCAAAAAAGTCTATAAAACCAATAAAAGCGACTAAAAGGAGTCAAAAAAATGCAACTACCATAAGGGAGTCAACAAAGGTACAAAAAACTGCAACAAAAAAAGATCATGAAAAACGAACGAAAGTCTACAAAAAACGAAACGAAATCAAAAAGGCGACAAGGTCCGATTTGGTCAAGTCAGGTCAAGTCAGGTCTACAAAAAAATCCACAAAAAGTGAAAAATGAACAAAGAAATTCATGAAAAAATAGGTTTCTACAAAAAGTTACCAAAAAATTAATAAAAGCCACAAAAAATCCGACAAAAAAGGCTACAACAAATGCAACAAGAAAGGTTATGAAAAAAATTCGACCAAAAAAACGACGAGTCAAAAAAAGCGACAAAGAAGGTCAGATTAGGTCAGGTCAGGTGTGGTCAATTCCACAGAAAATAGGAATAAAAGTCACCAAAAAACGCTATAATAAAGGCTGAAAAAAAGGCAGAAAAATGAATCTAAAAAAGATAGTCAAGAACAAGGTCACAAAAAGATGACAAAAATACATGACAAAAAAGACAGAGAGGATACAAACTTGCTACAAAAAAATGCGATAAGAAAAGGCGACTACAAAAAGGCTATAAAAAAAAACAACGAAAAAATCCATAAAAATGTGACCAAAAAAAAAATAAAAGCCACCAAAAAGTCACAAAAATGCAACTAATAGAAGGGAGTAAAAAAAGTCCCAAAAAATGCTACAAAAAAGATAATGGAAAAGTGAGCGAAAGTTCACAGAAAAGGCGACAAAAAAGAGAGGTAGTCAACACAGGCAACAAAAAGGTCCAGTCAGGTCAAGTCAGGTCAGGTCAGGTCAGACATACAAAAAATCCACAAAAAATACGACAAAAAAGGCTATAGGAAAAAAATGCAACAAAAATCTCCATAAAAAAGGCTACTACAAGAAAGTCACAAAAAAATACGACTAACAAAAGGGAACCATAAAAGTCACAATAAAATGCAACAAAAAAACATAATGAAACGACGAATGAAAATAAACAAGGCGACAAAAAATACGACCAAATCAATGAGAGGAAATCAGAAAAGACGACAAAAAATATGCCTAAAAGAGGAGAGTCAAGAAAAAAGGTCACAACAAAGTCGATAAAAACACGTGACAAAAAAAAGGAGAGGATAAAAAACCTGTTACAAAAAACCACACAAAAAATGTGACAAAATAAAGGCGTCTCTAAAAGTAACAAAAAAGGCTATAGAAAAAAATAAAAAAAGGGAGCCATAAAAGGTCACAAAAAATATCAATAAAAAAAAGATAATGAAAAAACGAACAAAAATCACAAAAATGCGACCAAAAGTGCGACCATAAAAACGAAAGGTCAGGTCAGGTTGGGTCAATTCTATAGAAAAAGATCACCAAAAAACTCTACAACCAAGGGGTTATAACATGCCACATAAAATATGTCTAAAAGGGAGTCAAGAAAAAAGTCACAAAAAAGATGAGAAAAACATAAACATGACAAAAAAGATGATAAAAAACCTGTTACAAAAAAAATTCACAAAAAATGCGACAAGAAACGGCGATTACAAAAAGTGACTAAAAAGGCTTTAGAAAAAAGCACAAGAAAAAAATCCATAAAAAAAGTGACTAAAAAAATAAAAGGTCCCAAAAAATGCTACAAAAAATATAATGGAAACGTTAACAAAAGTTCACAGAAAAGGCGACAAAAAATAGAGGCAGTCAAAACAGGCAACAAAAAGAGTTCAATCAGGTCAGGTCAGGTCAGCTCAAGTGAGGTCAGATCAGGTCACGTCAAACCTACAAAAAAATCCACAAAAATGCAACCACAAGAAGTGGCAAAAAAGGCTATAGAAAAAAAATTCAACAAAAATCTCCATAAAAAAGGCTACTACAAGAAAGTGACCAAAAAACCAACGAAAGCCACAAAAAACACGTCTAACACAAGGGAATCAAAATAAGGTCACAAAAAATAGCAATAAATAAGAGAATCAAAAAACGAACGAAAATCACAAAAGAATGCCGCCAAAAAAACGAGAGGGAATCAAAATAGACGACAGAAAAGATCAGATCAGGTCAGGTCAGGTCAGGTTGAGTCAATTCTACAGAAAAAGTCATTAAAAAACGCTACAACAAAGGAGTCAAAAAAATGCCACGAAAAATATGTCTAAAAGAAGAGAGTAAAGAAAAAAGTCACAAAAAGACGACAAAAACACACGAAAAAAAAAGGAGATGATAAAAAAACCTGTTACAAAAAAACACACAAAAAATGAGACAAAAAAAAGACGCCTACAAAAAGTGACAAGAAATGCTATTGAAAAAAAACCAAAAAAGTCCATAAAAAAGGACAAAAAGTTACAAAAAATACGTCCAACGGAAGGAAGTCAAAAAACGTCACAAAAAACGGCAACAAAAAAGAAAATGAAAAAAGGAACGAAAAGCCCACAAAAAAAGGCAATAAAAAAAGATAACCAAAAAACAGATGAAAACACAACAAAAAAGGCGTGAAAAATGCAACAAAAAAGGGTATGAAATAACAAACGAAAAGCCAAAAAAACACGACAAAAATGCGACCAAAAAAAAACGAGGACAAAAAAAAGCGATAAAAAAGGTCAGATCAGGTTAGGCTGGTCAATTCTACAGGAAATATTAAAAAACGTCACCAAAAAACGTTATAATAAAGGGTCAAAAAAGGCAGAACGATGTGTCTAAAAAAAAAGAAAGTCAAGAAAAAAGGTCACAAAAAAGACGACAAAATACATGACAAAAAAGAGAGAGGATAAAAACTTACTACAAAAAAAATCCACAAAAATATGCGACAAGAAAAGGTGACCACATGAAGTGACGATAAAACCTATACAAATAAAACAAACAAAAATAGTCCATAAAACAAATAACGAAAAAAGTGACCAAAAAAGTCACAAAAAAATGCTATAAAAAAATAGAGGTAGTCACAATAGGCAACAAAAAAGCTCCAGTCAGGTCAGGTCAGCTCAGGTTGGGTCAGAAACGGTCAGGTCAGATCTACAAAAAATCCACAAAAAAATACGAAGAAAAATGCAACCACAAGAAGTAGCAAAAAAGGCTATAAAAAAAATTCAACAAAAATCTCAATAAAAAGGCTACTACAAGAAAGTGAATAAAAAAGCAGCGAAAGCACAAAAAACACGTCCAACACAAGGGAGGCAAAAAAAGGCCACAAAAAATAGCAACAAATATAAAAACGAACGAAAATCACAAAAAAAAATTGCAGCAAAATGAGGGCAAAAAACGAGAGAGAGTCAAAAAAGACGACAGAAAAGATCAGATCAGGTCAAGTCAGGTCAGGTTGAGTCAATTCTACAGAAAAAAGTCATCAAAAAACGCTACAACAAAGGAGTCCAAAAAAATGCCACGAAAAATATGTCTAAAAGAAGAGAGTAAAGAAAATAATCACAAAAAATGACGATAAAAACACACGAAAAAATAGGAGATGATAAAAAAACCTGTTACAAAAAAACACAAAAAATGAGACAAAAAAAAGACGCCTACAAAAAGTGACAAGAAATGCTATTGAAAAAAAAAAACAAAAAAATCCACAAAAAATGACAAAAAGTTACAAAAAATACGTCCAACGGAAGGGAGCCAAAAAACATCACAAAAAACGGCAACAAAAAAGAAAATGAAAAAAGGAACGAAAAGTCCACAAAAAAAGGCAATAAAAAAA